AGAATCACTTTTATTTGCCAGGTATAGATACATATATAGATAACCTTTATTAATCTCCAAAGGGAAATTGGGTCGTCATAGCAGCCAGGTACATTAAAATACAACAAAATACAATAGAATAAAATACAACAATAGAATAAAATACTTAGGTAGAAAAGATAAAAAAGATAAATAGGTAGATAAGGNNTTTTATGTTGCTCTCAATGTACAAACACAGATTAACAGTATAAATAAACAGAACAAGTTCAACAACAAAAAAAGACATATACTTATATGTACAGTTATACATATCTATAAACAAACAGACAGTAGACAATAGTGCAATGGTGCAGAGTGCAAAGGATGCTGAAATAAATATTATATATATAATATACTCCTTCTCCTACTACTACCACTAGTATTACTATAATAATAATAATGTAAAATCTATAATTCAGCACAAGGTGCAGTTATATTATTGTAAAGTGCGTGTTTCCAGTTCAGTGAGGCCAAAATTGTACAAAAAGAAAACATTATACAAAATATAAATGATCAAATACAAAACAGATAGTATTTTTTTTAGGATCGTCTTATAAAATCCTGTGGCTGTACAAAGAAAACATGTTTTATATTGTACAAAATGTAATTTAAACTACAGGCAGGTTTTTGGACCTGATGGGCTTCCTTACACAGTTATTACGGTAATGTGAAGCGTCGCAAACGAGCCGTCGCTGTCGCTGTCAGTGCTTCTTTTATGTTTGTCTAGAAACGTCCTTTCAAAGCTGCTATGTGTTGAATTCCTCATTTGTGCTGCAGCGGGAATTATTTTCCAAAAAAGGACAACCTACCAAGCTAATGTAGCAACCTAACGTCGACTTTAACTTCTGGATAAACTGTACACGCTTGACAGATAAACATGGCAGAGTCGTCGCAGTTATCCGGGGTTAATGTTGTGCTGGTTATGGCCTACGGAAGCCTGGTAAGTACGTTTCGGTTTCCAGCTCATAAGCACTCCCTGTGATG